AACCCATTTATTTTTAAATAAATGATCGGTGGCGACTCCAATCCACATTTTTCAAGTCGAAGCCCAATTCTGGAGCCCAACCGAAAGACGGTTACGACAATTATATTTGAGTAATTTAAAAAATTAATATCTAATAAATATTAATTTTATTTAAAAAATATTACTCTTTCAAAATAGTGATGTAAGGGTAAAAATGCCACCACATTTATGTTCATAATTTGGGTTTTGATTTGAGTTCAATTCTTGGTACACTATAAAAACCTCGATCAACTTCGACTTCGGGGACAAAAGAAAATTTACATCTTGTCATAGTAAACAAAGGGAGGAATCGCCCGTTAAGATCAAGTGATGGCAAGTGCTGACGTGGATGCCGTGGATTTCGAGCCGGAGGACGACGACCTCATGGACGAGGACGCCAGCGGCGACGCCGCCTCCCATCAAGCCTCCATGCCTAAGCTCAAGTCAGCCATCACTGGCGGCTATTCCATTTTGCTTTCTGGCTCTAAGAAAACTAAAGGCCGTGGTTTCCGCCAGGAGGACGCCGACCGCCACTCCCATCTCGCCTCCCGCGAATTCGACTCTCTCGGATCTGATGGTGGCCCCGGTCCCCAGAGATGTTAGTCCCTTCACTAAACCCTAAGTTTTCTTTCTCTATTTTTGCTGTTTCGTTTATTCATTTTTTCCAATTATAATGGCCTATAAGATAAGATGCTTTTCGAAATTGGTCTAAAATTTTGTTCACTGATCATAGAATAATTTTGGTTTAAATTAGTTGAGAGTTTTGCAGTGTTGCTTAATGTTAAAGCTTGAGTAGGTTTCTGATTTCATTTCTTTGTGTAATGGTTGTGAGTATCTTTACTGATAAGAAGTTAGTGTTACTTTTTTCTGAATTTCTTTACTTGTTAGTAGTTGCAAGTAAAACTTATTGATAACTAAATGGTTAAAAGGCTAATCTTTGTGAAAATAAGCATTTCATTATAAAGTACTGTGACTTGCAATTGGGAGTTTGGGACTGGGAGCTTAAACAGTTTAATTTTTTATTGAGAAAATAACCTTACTGACCAAATATGCCTTATAATATACGATTTTAACCAACTTTTTTTGAAATTGCCAAAATGACCAACTAAATCGCAATGCGATCGATAATTCGCAACGCGGTCTCCGTATCGCAAATCAGTTTCCAGATTCGCAACGCAAACTCCTACTAACGCAACGCGAACTTCGACTATCACATTGCGATTTACATATTCGCATTGCGATAGTCCAAGTTCGCGTTGCGAATCTAGAAACCGATTTGCGATACCGGAGATCGCGTTGCGATAGTCGAAGTTCGCGTTGCGATTTATTCCAAATTCGTTGCGATAGTCCAAAATCGCAACGACGGGTGGTATTGCATTTGTTTCTTAAGAATTTTCTCTAAAAAGATAGTATTCGCGCGGACGTGTCGAAGACACGTATTACCACGACCACGACCCGAGACGAGACGGACGGCGGCGGCGCGCGAGAGTCTCCCTTATTCTCTATCACTCAACAAGGAAGTGGGAAAGTCAAGCCTTAAATACCATTCCCAATAGTGTTTCCAATACTATGTGGGATTGAGCATTACCAACACTTGTTTCCAATACTATGTGATTATTCAGGAAACAATTAACAATTATGCACCTTAAAAAAACTGAATCAGTAACCAATTGCATTAGTATTATACGATTAAATATGTCATAATTAAAAGTCAATCTACAATCAATCGTGATTATTGCAATTTTAAGCAAAACATTCAAAAAAAATTGATTGGCGAGAATAAAAAAAATTGTTATCGTGCAATTACAATCAATTGAAAATAAATTAAAATTGTATGAAAACTAAACGAACCACAAATACTTTTCATACAAATACTAAAGTCATTAACTATAATTCACAAATAATATCACTATTTAAGGCTCAATCCCACTTAGTATTGGGAACAAGTGTTGATAATGTTTAATCCCACATAGTATTGGAAACACTATTGAGAATGGTATTTAAGGCTTGGCTTTCCCACTTCCTTGTTGAGTGATAGAGAACAAGGGGGACTCTCGCGTGCCGTCGTCGTCCGTCTCGTCTCGTGGTCGTGGTAATACGTGTCTTCGACACGTCCGCGCGAATACTATCTTTTTAGAGAAAATTCTTAAGAAACAAATGCAATACCACCAGTCGTTGCGATTTTGGACTATCGCAACGAACTTGGAATAAATCGCAACGCGAACTTCGACTATCGCAACAAACTTGGACTATCACAACGCGAACTTCGACTATCGCAACGCGAACTTGGACTATCGCAATGAATTTGGAATAAATCGCAACGCGAACTTTGACTATCACAACGAACTTGGACTATCGCAACGCGAATTTGGAATAAATCGCAACGCGGACTTGGACTATCGCAACGAATTTAGAAAATCGTATTGCGATAGTCGAAGTTCGCGTTGCGAATCTGGAAACTGATTTGCGATACCGGAGATCGCGTTGCGAATTATCGATCGCATTGCGATTTAGTTGGTCATTTTGGCAAATCTAAAAAAAAATTAGTTAAAATCGTATATTATAAGGCATTTTTTGTCACTGAAGTTATTTTTTCTTTTTATTTTTTGATGAAGCGTATCATATTCATAATTATTTCTCAAATTCATGGATTTGTTGGATGCTTCATGAGTACTTTCATCTCTGGCCATTAGTGAGACTCATGAGTTTTTTCATCTCTGGCCATTAGTGAGACTACAACACGTATAATGGGCTAATGGCAGATGCTTCATGAGTTTTCTGGCCCACATTATATGAGCATTTGACGAACTGTAAGGTGTAATATCATTGCGTTTAAGTGGGTTTAGGGTGATCATTGAGAATTTGGCTTTAGGTCATTTTTTTGATAACTTTATTCTATTGTCGGAAGTATGGAATAGGGTTGATCCTGTTTTCATGAGGGTGGTTAAGAACTTGCTATCAAGGACAATATACCCAAGCAAAGAAACATAACAAGATTTTCCTTTATTGTAAACTATTTTCTTTGTAGTAATATTTTCTTTTATTTATCATTTATAAACTTGCAGCTATTGAAGGATGGATAATCTTGGTCACTGGCGTACATGAGGAAGCACAAGAGGATGATTTGCACAACACATTTGGTGAATTTGGTGAGATCAAGAACTTGCATTTAAATCTTGATCGCCGCACTGGATTTGTCAAGGTAAGCAATGTAGTAAAGTGGTGTAGCTCCCTTAATGAGCATTAGTTTGGGCAAACATGTGTTTGCTTGTACATGCATGTGTGTGTGTGTGTGATTCTGTGTTTGAAATGTTTTGTCTATCTATCTGCATGTTTAACATTTTTGTTTTTGTGTTTTCTATATGCACTAGGGAATATGAATTCTTTTTTATCATAAGATTTTGAGCAGTTTAGTGTTTCTAACCACTTTAAGTCGTTACTTGATGCTGGTTTGACAGTACATTATAATACAGTTTTTTTTTATAGCGATTGAAGATAAGAAACCAAAGAGAAATTTTTTGACTATTTTTTGTCTTCTTTTGCAGTATTTTCTTAGTATTGTATAATTTTGTTCAGGTAAAACTAATGTGCGTGTTTCCACTTAGGGATATGCACTCATTGAATACGAAAAGTTTGAAGAAGCAAAGAATGTCATATCTGCAATGGATGGAGCAGAACTTCTTACACAAACTATCAATGTTGATTGGGCCTTTAGTAATGGACCCAGTATTGGAGCCTCCAAGAGAACAAATATGAGGTTTGTCTCTATTAATATGCTTTTTGAATGTTGCATGATCTGTTAAATATATCATTTAGAATCGGTGAATGAACCCAACTGAAATTGAGTTAAATTTTTAACATTTTAAGCCTTGAACCAGAGCAATCCAAATTTGAATGACTTTGTGTAAGAACAAACCTACATGGCATGTGCCAGCCAACCTAACCCGATTCTTGAAATTTGGCCTTAGCATTTTCTTTTCCTTTACAACTAATTTGATATGAAAGATAACAAGAACAACAACTTTGTGCGAAAAGCATGCTTAATGGTACATTGGTACTTTTTCTTTGGTCTGCATGTTTACATTCCTCTATACTACCTTAACTGATCCAACTCAAGCCACAATTTAGATGTTATTGCCGATTTGGTGCTAATGCCATGGTCCTGCTGTTGAAAATAGATACTTTTAGCCGCTGGATATAACCTGTGGTGCATTAATCTAACAATACTCTTTATCTTGCAGAGCCGGCCGGACACATCGCTCTCGGAGTCCTAGGAGAAGATACTAACTTGACCTCTATTATGAGAGTGGGATTTATAACGAGAAATTTTGAGATTCAGTGCTTGAAATATACTGAACTATGTATTTTTATTTGTCTACTATGATGCGTACTTCATCCTTTTTTCAATTATACGGTGTCAAGTGGTGAATGGTGGTTGTGATTAGTCTTCAGTTGCCTCTTTTTGTCTCGTATTTGTGATTATCGTTTCATTTCTTCTGGCATTGCATCCTGGCTCATATGTCGTAAGTCACACTGAGGATATTTGAAGCAAAGAATAAAGGTGAGACATGTTAAACACAAAAAAAATATTCGTCAGCTCGGGTATCAAGTAAGACTGTTAAAGAGCAAGAAAAGAAGAATTCACATCAAATCAGCATTTTTGTTTTTGATAAACTAACAGCAAATAATGGGATGATCAATCAAAAAGCAAGGGATTTCCTACCCAAAAAGCAAAGATTATGAGCCTGTAAGAAAAGAATAATGTCAGCTTGAAATTTACTGCAATTCCATCCTATATGCCGATTGCCTAATTAGTAGTATGGGGCATACCCACAACATTGTTTGCTGCCATTTACCTGGCCCCTTTTCCTCTCTTACATTATCATTGTTTCCCTTTCTATTTCTTTGCTTTCTCACATTGTTTCTACAGCCTTTTTCTTGCTTCCCCCCCACTCCCAACAATTATTTGTAGTCACTGAAAAATGAGTGGAATGGAGCTTGTTCCTTGGAACAGAGTTCTTGGTATCCTCAAACCGCTCAAACGTGAACTTAGTTTCATCTTTTCCTACAAGGAAAAGGCTGAGAGCCGTGACCATCAATTTGACAAACTGAAGATAGCATGGGAGATGGTGCTACATGATGTTGACAACGCCGACAGAAAAGGAGAAGAAATCATGCAGTGTGTGAAGGACTGGCAGAAAGAAGCCGAACCCAAGGTTAAGGAGTCCGACAGACTCGCGGTTGAGGACCCCAAGTGCTTCTTTGGCTGGTGTCCTAATTTGAAATACCGATACGACCTAAGCAAGAAAGCCGACGAGGATGTACATGTCCTTGATAAGCTTCTGGATCTTCATAAGCAATTCAAAGACAAAATTTCTCAACCTTATGATCCGCAGGTGAGATGGGCGTCGCCATCGGAGAGTTATGTGGCCTTCGACTCGAGAGAGTCTATTCTGAGACTGATTTTGGAGGCATCAAAAGATGATACTTTGAAGGTCATTGGCGTGCATGGTGAAGCTGGAGTAGGGAAAACTACACTCATCAATCGAGTAGCCCATATGGCTAAGGCGGACAAGGTGTTTGATTGGGTGGCTCTTGCAAATGTAACCCAGACGCCAGATGTTAAGAACATTCAAAGAGAGATTGCGGAGTGTATCCGTGTCAATTCTCTGGGGGACTCACCAGATGCAAGAGCAAGCAAGCTGCGCACTATATTGGGGAAGAAGAAAAAGATTTTGGTGATTTTGGATAACATTTGGGCGAGTTTAAACTTGGAAGAAGTCGGAATTCCATTCGGAGATCATCAGCATAGAGGGTGCAAGGTGCTGATATCATCAAGAAATCCCAGTGTTTTACTTGAAATGAATGCTGATAAATCCTTACCGGTTCATGTTTTAAAAGAAGGTGAAGCCTGGAAACTGTTTAAGAAAATTGTTGGTGATCGTGCTAATGATGCTGATGTGCAGTCTACAGCTTCTGATGCATGTAAGAGATGCGGGGGGTTGCCGCTTACCATCGTGACAACTGCAAATTACTTAAAGAAGATGCCTCCCTCTGAATGGGAAACTGCTTCAAAACAGCAAATAAGTCCTTCCACAGCCGTAGAGTCGAGTTTCAATCATTTGGCTAATGATGAACTTAAATCTGCTTTCCAGCTTTGTAGCCTCATGCCATACAATGCTACCATTTTCGACTTGATGAAATATGGTAGGGCTTTCGGTTTCCTTCGAGGAAACGAAACAACGGAAGAAGCACATCGGAGACTACACAGACTGATACAATACCTCAAATCCACATGTTTATTATTTGATGGTCATATGGCCGAGGAGTTTGCAATGCATGAAGTCATTCGCGATGTCGCTGCATCAATAGCAACCAGGAAGGGGGGTATGTATTTTATGAGAAACGAGATTGGACCAAGAGAGTTGCCATATCCCGAGCTAAGAAACTTGACTGCAATCTCGCTGTTCTACAACGATTTCATTAGACTTCCGGACCGGCTCGAATGTACGCAGCTTAAAGCTTTTCAACTTTACAACAAGAATCCTACTTTGAGAATCTCTGATCAATTTTTCTCAAAGATGGAAGAATTGCAAGTCTTAGATGTGAAAGGAGTGCAGAATTTGTCGTTGCTTCCTTCATCACATGGCCTGTTGGACCTTAAAACGTTATGTTTGGAGTCATGCTTGTTGCAACAAATAGAAATGGTTGAGAAGATGAAGAAACTCGAAATCCTTAGCTTCTGCGATTCCATCATAGAAGCGTTGCCTGAAGAAATCGGGCAATTGACTCAGCTAAAGGTGTTAAACTTGGATAATTGCTCCAAACTGAGCGAGATTCCCCCGAATGTAATATCGAAGTTGTCTCGACTGGAAGAACTACACATTGGTAACAGTTTTGCTCAATGGGAGGAAGGACAACGTGCAGGGCGCCATGCTAGTCTCAGTGAGTTGAATCTGTTGCCTGATCTAACCAGTTTAAACCTGCATATCTCTGATTACAGTAAAATGCCAAAGAGAACCTTCTCGGACAAGTTGCAAAAATTCAAGATATTGATCGGAAACACGTGGGATTGGTCGGACAAGCATGAAGCCTCAAGAATGTTGAAGCTCAAGCTCAATGATAGCATCCATATGAATGATGGGGTCCAAATGCTGTTAAAAAAGCTGAAGATCTGTATCTGGATGAACTGAAGGGTGTTAGGGATTTCTTATACGATTTCGACGAGAGTAGAACAGGCTTTCCAAAACTGAAGTATCTCCATATCCAAAATGGTCCGGAAACGAGGCACATCGTTAACTTGGTTGAGGAGGTTACCCTTGTTGTCTTTCCTGTCTTGGAGTCATTTTATCTTCAGAATTTGGTTAACTTGGAGAAGATATGTAATGCTCAGCTTGAAATGCAACCCTTTGCAAAATTAAGAGAGATAACTGTGGAAAGTTGCTATAGATTGAAGAATTTGTTTTCATTCTCCATTGCCAGAGGCCTTCAACAACTTCAAGAAGTTCAAGTGGCGGATTGCAGAAACATGGTAGAGATCATTACAGAGGGAAGAGGAAGTGATGTTAGTGACTGTGAAGCAACAACCACAGTTGAATTTGAGCAGTTGCGATCCTTGACACTACAACAATTACCGAAGCTGATCGGCTTCAATGCAAGCAGTACGACTGTAGCACTATTCAATGAAAAGGTACTACTTTTATTGTTTTCTATATATTTCAAACAATAGTTAAAAACAGAATCCAAGATCCTTGCAATGTGTATGCTTAAATTTTTTAGGAAATCTTTTACCCTTCTTTATAGTCTATGGTATTTTTCATTTACGTTGCATGTTAAAGAAACTCGCAAATTCGATGCGCGCTCACACACATGCATAGAAATAGATATAGATATACACACATATATATAGATACAAAAGCATATATGTTCTACTCAATGAAAGTAAAGAAGGGGGTTTTGATTCGTTTTTCAGGTCACATTTCCCAGGTTACAGAATTTGAAATTGTCCTTTATTAACGCCTCACGAATGTGGCCGGAGCAGATTTTTTCAGTGCCTACTTGCATTCAAAATTTAACCAGTATCACTGTGGAGAGTTGTGGTAATCTTAAATTCCTACTATCATCCTCTATGGTACCAAGTCTGGAGCAATTGATCCATCTGGAAATAAGTGACTGCAAGCTAATTGAGGGAATCATTGAAGAAGTGGAAACGGAGGAAATGATGGAGAAAATAGTGTTCCCGAATCTTAGCTCCTTAAAGATAAAAGGCCTTCCAAGGCTGACCAGATTTTGCTCAGGCAAAGCAGTGCAGTTTCCATCCTTGAAACAATTGCAGATAGAGCATTGTCCTAAGCTTGGGACCTTCATCTCCAACTTCATGAAGAAAGGAATTCAGCCTCTCTTCAATGAAAATGTGAGTTATTTGTTTGTTTTCCACAAATTCTTATCAAATGAACGACTAATTGTATGTATGACGATGTCTCATTACAATCAATTATGTAGGTAGCATTTTCTAGCTTGGAGAAGATGGTAATCTCCCACTTGAGAAACTTGAAAATGTTGTGGAATGATCAATTACCTGAAAGTTCCTTCTGCGAACTAAAAACAATGGAAGTTGAGTACTGTTCGCAGCTACAGACTGTATTCCCATTTAATATGGTAGAAAGATTTCGAAGGTTGCAGACCCTGATAATGAATGGTTGTGCTTCATTGGAAGAAGTTTTCGGTTTTCAAAGGCTCAATGTCGATGAAAACGAGGCTGGGGTAGCTATTCCGTTGAAGAAACTATACATGTATGACTTACCAAAGTTGAAACATGTCTGGAGTAAGGATCCCCAAGAAATGATCACTTTCAAATATCTGACTTCTGTATATGCTTTCGGATGCGAGAGTCTGAAAAGCCTCTTTCCGGCCTCAGTTGCAAGAGGCCTTCGGCAACTTGAAAGTGTTGAAATAGACACTTGTGGGGTCGAACATATTGTTGCAATGAATGAAACTCCTCAACCTGAAACCAGATTCGAGTTCCCTAGGCTAACCTTTCTGCGAATTTGGAAACTTTTAAAGCTCAAAAGTTTCTACCCCGGAGATCATTCAACTGAATGGCCAGTGCTGAAGAGAATGGTGACCTACCATTATGGTGATATGAGAATTTTCACCTCGGAACAACTCAGAAATAAGCAGATGCGGAACATTTCTCAGCCGCTCTTTTTAGTAGAAAAGGTAACATATACATGCATTTAACATATCTATAATTCTTACACAGAAGAACATAAGCAGAACTCATAGGTGACTTGTTTCTTGTCACTTCCTTCCTACAGGTGGTTCCAAATTTGGATGAACTTACATTAGACAGTAAGGACATCTCGATGTTAATTCGCGAAGACTTACCTCCTTATCTTTTTAGCGACGTAAAAGTTCTGCAAGTGCATTGTTACCATGAACCGGCTATTTTTCCGTTTGGATTCATCCAAAACTTCACCAATTTAGACAAGCTTTATGTTGGTTGTTGTAAATTCAGAGAGCTCTTCCCATCTGAAAGACTAGGTGGTGATCCGAAGAAACCTCTTGGGACCCTTTCGAGAATTCGAACCTTGAAGTTGGTTCTCCTTTCGAATCTGCACCATATATGGAAGCCAAACTCGAAACCGGACCTAATCCCTCCCTTTCTGGAATCTCTACTCGTTTGGCATTGTAACAAATTGCTCAGTTTGGCACCATCGTCTTCATCTTTCGCAAATCTCACCACTTTGGACGTATGGAACTGCCATGGCGCGGGGCATATAATCTCGTCCTCTACTGCCAAAACACTTGTGCAACTCACCAAAATGAGTATAAGAGAATGCCGTGAGGTGACTGAAATTGTTGAAGATGATGAAGAAGCTGCTGCTGGAACATTAGAAGAAATTGTTTTCAGCAAACTTGTGATTTTGAAGCTAAATGACCTGCCTAGTCTCCTGTATTTCAGCTCAGGGAGTTATGCCTTGAAGTTCCCATCACTGGAAGAAATAACTGTGATTCAATGCCCAAGTTTAATCAATTTCCATGGGGGAACACTGTTAAGCACTCCAAAGCTAAACAAAGTTTGGGTGGCAGAAGATATGGATCGAAGTTGCTGGGAAGGTGACCTTAATACCACTGTTTCCAAGAAATTGGTACGTTTTCTTATTCTCCAGAATTTCTTATATCCTTTAAGTCGAGCTCCAGCTATTGAGTTAGCTAAATTCAAGTATCTTAATGCTTAATCAAACCATTTCATTTCTATCTTCAGTTGAGTCGAATTTGAATTTTAAAAGTATACTCGAACAAAGCTTTGAGCCTTGAATTTCAAGTCAAACACAAGATCGAGTTTCTTACAAATTGATAATTAAAACTAATATGTGTAAGGATTCGATTAAAAATTTCTTTTATGAAATGATTGTATTTGCATATGATGAAAATGGCAGGGCTCTGGTGCAAGAAGAAGGGGCGTTGACTATTTGGCAGATTTCAACTGATTAGTATCTCAGGCTTAGACGTTTAACGTACCAGTTGATTATTAGTTTATTATCAGTACTCCAAAAAATATTTATAATTATGTAATAATGCGAATATGGTTTCAATTATAAACTTCTAATTACTCGTTCATATACCATTATTATCGTTTTTCTAATTCATTATCATATGCTTTTTAATTATTTACATATTTCATACAAATTATTTTATGAAATAAGGGTAAGATAAATTCGATTTGATTAAATATATTAAATTTAAATGTTAAATAAGAAAAAAGAAAAACAAACTCATTTTTTTTTGCAGAAATATCAAACTACACAAATTTGGGGGGGGGGGGAAATCAAAATTCAACATACATGCTTTTTGGGAGACATGATGAAAAGAAAGCAGCCTTTATTAATCCTTTTTGGGAGAATAGTATTTAGGTAGCATTTCTTTTCTTCTTTATCACTGAAAATATTTTTCAAGATTTGTTCCTAACATATCCATAAGACAGAGATGGATGGGGATGAGGACTTTAGTTCTTGCGTGAAAGAGCAGCCACGATGCCACCAGCAACCAGCCCAGCAGCAATAACAGCAATGCCTATGCCAATCACTCCATCTGCATCCAAAACATTCATATTATTTGTGTTCAACTACAGATAAAAACCCAACACTTTAAACTATAACTCGAGCTCCAATTCAAATTCGATTATCTGTGTTCGAATTCAGGTTCAACATTAGATTTTTTCAATATTAACTAAAACAAAGAAACCTCGATTAAGCTCACAAGACACTGGAATCAGCCATTATGATATTCAAATAACTCGGTTGTTTCCATGACTCAGCCCCAAGATCAGCTCAATAATGAGCTAATCAAATTAATTTTTTTCCGGACGAAACTCAAGTAGCTTGCAAGTATATGCGTCTCCTTTGCACCCTAATCATAAGTGCTTAATTACCTTTTGTAATCCGCTCTTCAATTGCCTTCTAAAGAGTTTGTGCCTGCCTCCATTCAGGTTCTATCTGCCAAATTCAAAGAAAAACCATTCAGGTTCTATACGTGGACAAACTAATTACAATTTTAATTCAAAGAGTTTGTAGCTTTGACTCTTCATTTTTACTTTAAGTACCCATGTCCGACACATGATCTAATAGAGGTGTGAGGATATAATCATTCAAGGATTTTCCAAATATATGGAAGGAGTGAGAAAAAAAAAGAACAAATCCACATCAAACACATACCAATATCCGAAACTTATACCGAATGTAAGTAAAATAGTCTACAAAATATATAGACTAGGATCAAAGTTTCTACATAGATAACTTACCTCTAAGAAAACATCATCTTCAACAAAACCCACATTTCAGGGGAGGAAAATAGGTTGAAGTAGACCTGATACTTTTGCACATGATAAGGACTGTACATGTTTAATAAATACAAAGATAGTATAACAAAAACAACACGGCATATTTAATAAGCATCATATTTGTGTTTAGAATTTGACACATTCAATAATTTCTATTATGTTTACGTTTATAGAGGTGATGCAGGAAAAAATACAAGATATGACATGCATATTAGGATTGCCATGTTTAGATTGAAGGTGTCAAATGAAAAATAATGCAGCAATAAGAAATCCCGTAATATCTAGAGTAACATTAGTGACTAAGGGTAGTAAATATCAACCATCAAACATTGCTCCACAGGCTCCCTGCTCCTTGAATAGTCGCCCTTTCGGTAATGTCCGACAGCCAGAAGATAAAGCTTCTCTCGCATTTTCATTGGATAGGCAGTGCTGGCCAATGAAGCTGCAAATAAAAATATTTTAACATACTCTGACGGGTAAACAATAATCAGGAATTGATCTCAACAGCAATTTGCAACCACTTTTGTAGATGGGATGAAAAGGAGATTTAAACTTGGTTTGACCTTCAAGCATAGCTATCCCACGTTCTACATCTTCTCATCGTCGCAAATGAACAAGTGCCCATGAAAGTCGTGTGAGACATTCATTTTTTAACTCTTCAGAACCTTTATCGGCCTCAGCAGCCTCCTTTTCGCATCCCTGATAATGATTTTAAAGACAAAAATGAAAAGATCAAATCAATGTCTATAATACTTACCAGTGTGCACAAAGCCAGGGCATTCAGTGCTAGCTCATCAAAGTACAAATTCAGGTTTTAAACATTATCCCAGATTGACAGAAATTAAAATCTAATCATCCATCATGCAGGAGAAAAAAGATACGTGCATATATATTATAAACAATTCGATGTGGTGAATACGAATATACATGCCTCATATTGAGAATGAAATCTCAGAAGTAGATAAGAAAAAGGGTAAACCACAAAATAGTCTAAAAACCATGAAAACAAATTGTGATCCTTTTATGGGTAAGCTACAAACTGCCCACAACATTAACTGATAGCATCTCAAGAACACGATGATTCTTGAAGAGAACTGCTACTCTTTATTTCATATACATAATACTGTAATCTATCTTGTAATTAGCATTCTTGGGGTAAATCAAATAGAGTAGCAGTTGTAAGGATCATCGTCGTTCTTTTAATCGGATTCGTCTCTCAAAAGGGATTTGACATCTGAAACCAGACGATTCGTACTAAAAGGTGCCAAGGCTCATCTAAAAAATTTAACAGTAAAAACAACTACAGATTTATATATACCGCGATTGCTTTTGCTAACATGAAATTACTCTAAAATTGAAAAAGCCTTTCACCCCGAGAAAAACGAATTTGAGAGGGAAACGCGAAACATATTGAAAATGGTTCCAAAACCAAGAAATCTAATAAAAATTCAATCCAGAGAATGCAAGGCAATCATTAAAAAAATCTCGAAAAAACCTGACAGTTAGAGAAAAAAAAGGGGAAAAAAATAAGCAAAGCACTTACCGCAATGATATCAGAATCGCACCAAGGAAGCTGATCTGATCCGGAGAAGAAGTTGGTCACCGACTTGAAGAATTTCCCTACCTTTGCTTCCATTGTTCTAGTCAAAGCTTGGTCTCTCGTCTTTTCATTCCTTTTTTTTTTTCGTTGCAAAAGATGAAAACTATTTGCTTTTTCTTGGGGAAACGGCGGTCACTCACAAAACAGTGTTTGGTGATATTATGGTTAAAACGCTACAACGAGATTCTCAAAATAAACTGCATTTTTTCTCAAACAGGCCAGCATCCTTATAAGTTATAAATAAGGTTAGTTAGGTAAATTTTCAGAAAAATAAAAATTAAACTAAATTATAGTGTGTTTGAATAGTTTGTTATTTATAAATTTAAATATATATATATATATATATAATATAATCATCAATTATTTCTTATTATTTTAATTTTAATTTTAATTTTTTAGATAAAATTATTCTATAAAAGTTAAAAAAATTCCACAAATAATATTTTTTTATTAATATAGGATAAATATAAGGTAATATATGTTTAAAGATAACTCTCAATCATTTGACATTGAACGCTCACACCCCTAACATTCATGGTGCTTAAAATCGAGATCTCAATGAATAACAACAAAACATTTACCACTAAAATCGTTTGGTCCCTGCTTTACAAATAATATTGAATTAGTGATATTAGACATTAAGAATTAGAGTTTACAGATTAGAAATTAGGTTTTAAGGGTTTAGAATTTATTTTTTTAAAATGTTGATTTGCTATATAAACTATTTTTAAGAATTTTAAATTTTGATATTATTTTTTAATTATTCCTCAAAGGTATTTTTATTTTTATCTTATTTTCGAATAAAATATATTAGAATTATTATAGTATAATGATATTTTGATAAATAATATTATAGTATAATGGTATTCCTCAAAGGGTTTTAAGGGAGGCCCTGAGTTTAAAAGTATTGTTACTATGCATTTTATAAGATATGTTTTTTTCGAGAGTAGAATGATATTTTGATAAATAATATTAGAATGACTATTTGATTATCTGATTTCACATCGAATATTTTAAAGTGTAAGATAAATAGAATAAAAAATCACACGATGATTCGTATGGAAAACATCGTGAGATTAATTGAGAAATAATGTTACGCCTTGGAGAGACGAGAGCATTAATCTCATGTAAAAAAACGTTTGAAATTTAAAAACGATGATAATGTACATTCTATCGCTAGGTATCTTTTAGAAGGAATACAGCATTCAACTTCTAAATTATTATTTTACACTTTAAAATATTTTATATATATTTTAATCTTACAACTTTATCTCCACTTCAACATAATTCAGTTACATTGTATGATACCAATCTTACAAAGTATAAATACCACAGTTACATATATTAATATACACAGAAACAAGAAATAGAGGGGAATTCAGCCATGAAGATAAAACATATTTTTCAGACATCAATTATTTTAACCCTCATCTACATGCTCAATTTAAATCAAACTTGGTCTCCAACAAGACACACTTATTGCAATACCAAGACACAAGTGCACTAAATTTCAATAGCTCAGTTGGGAATCCAGACGAGGGTATCACGGCCAAGGAAATGGCAAATGGGGACAGTTCCTGGCTTAATCTTAAGAATCTTAAAGGCCAAATGATTAGGACTCCAAAACGACGTATCTTTGTGACAAACCGCCATTGCGTTAGCCTTTGTCCCATCCTCGCTCACCAACGGAACTTTAAACACCTCGGTTTTCTCGATGGAGTGGCATAAATACACCGCGTATGGGTACTTCATCTTATGGCAAACTACACTGTTCCCTCCCATGTGTCCAACTCCGTGGCCGATTGTAAACATTGGGTTCTTGGTTTCTTCCGCAAGCTCATGCCACAGCAACCGGATGTTTTTTCCCAGCACCGAAACACCCAAATCCACAAAGGACTCTAGCGATGAAGCGCAGTATTTGGCTTCGCCTTTCATTTCGTCTCTTTCGCAATTCTTCACCGCTACTTCCACGTAAACCGCACCCTTTGATTCGGCTTTCAACGAGAAGTTGTTTAAGATCTCAGGTAATTTGTCGTTCGACATCGGCGCCAGTGATTCCTCAATTTGCCGAGGCAAGAATGTGGCCATGGGACTCTTCTGTAGGATTCTTGGTAGGTTTACTTTCGTGCCAGGAAGAAGAGTCTCTTGAAAGAAATAAATGGTCTCCTTTATTGCTGTATTTTCATGGCCTCGTAAAGCTTTTCTGTTTACGGGCAATTTCTCAGTGTCGTATCCTTTGTTTGAATTATACTGAGTTTTGGATTTTGTGTATTGATATCCAAAATCACCAAATCCAGAATCTAAATCATCTTCACTTTTGGATTTTGTGTACTGATACCCAAAATCACCAAATCCAGGATCGTTCACTCCTTTGTTTACTAAAGAATCCTCGGTGTTGGAATTTTTGTCTGAATTATCTTCAGTTTTGGGTTTTGCGTATGAATCATCGTACGCATAATTACCAAATTCAGGATCATTGATTCCTTTATTGTCGGGTGAATCCTTAGTGTTGGATTTTGCGTATGAATCATCGTACCCATAAGCACCAAATTCAGGATCATTGATTCCTTTGCTGTCGGGAGAATCCTTGGTATTTGGTTTTTTGTCTGAATCATCTCCGTCCCAGTAAGCACCAAACTCTGAACTGTACACCATGCTTCTACCTGTATACATGATTTGTTCATAAATACGTGGGTTAATTAATTCATGTATTGATAGTTAACCATTGATTCATCTATTTGTTCTTTTAAAGAATGGTTTTCAATAGGTTGGATATTCGAATTTGTACAGGCTTAGTACGGAAACGATCCCTAATTTAGTTTTCTTCGTTTGCAATATTAAAATTCGAATCAATTAATAATTAATAAATTATTATATAATTTAATTTATAAAATTAGAATTTTTATGAGATCACAAAATTCTATTTACCTTGTGTTAAAAAAATTTACTTATTTACCTTTTATGCTATGCTTAGCTTGATGGGCTTGGAACAAATTGAGAATAAGAAAATGGAAAAAGAGTTGATAATGAAAACAAACCAGGTATTGGGAGAATGTCATGTAGAACTTTGGGCAGTGGAGTGTGTGGAAACACTGACATCCAATGAAGCTCCTCTTTTGTCCCAGTTGCATGGCTTCCTCCAACTGCTAACTGTGCCACAAATTTTAATTAAGTTGTTCAAAAACCAAATTATAATTCGTGTGTGGCTAAAGTGCAATTTTTTGTCGGACAAATTAATAATTGTATGATTTATTAGGGAACTAAAAGGTAATTATTCCAATTTAGGGGGCAAAGGCATTGCCTCCTATTTAGTTTTTTTTTTTTTGCTGTCCCTTTTTTCCATATGTATGGGGTAAGGGGGAGGTAAGATAGTAGACTATCCCAACACCAGGTTGAGAACAGCTTCCGTAAGAGACCTCCGAATTATGAAATGCCTTCCGTGAGACTCGATCTCACGACCTCAAGATTAAGAACCTTGTGCTCTACCAACTGAGTGTGTCTATTCAGTCATATGAAACGCTCTTTAACTCCGAATTTTTCAATAGTTGTTGATAAAGTATCGAAAGAGCATCTACATATAATAGAGAAGAAAAGATGTTGAAGGGCATACTTTGAGTAAAACGATGAAGATGAGACGGGAGTGGAGCGCCATTGAAGGTTGTAAAGCAGCTCTGGAAGTTTAGATATGTGAGGTAGGCGAGCCTTGAATTGAAATGTTGATATATATATATATGTGTTCGAAAGTTAACAATGATACAACACGAAAAAGGTCTCAAGTGCAATGGTTGGAATTATCGCACGGATTGCATAACCATTATCGAGCCGGAACTTGTTCATCGTTTCAACCACAACCAATATTCTTTTTATCTCCATCGTCTGCAAGGCTTCACGGCCGACCAAAATATGCTTTGGCAATCAATTTTAAGTATAATTCGAAGGAATGTTATTCGTGACAAATATTCTAGCTGAATTTATTGGTTGAATCGCCGAAAGACGACTTTTTTACAAGGGAGGGCAGGGCATACATAACTTCGATCATGAAAGAAAAAATTGGGCATACAAGATATAAAAAAAACAAATATAATTTCAATTACTATTAAATTGGACATGGAACTGACCTGGATCCAATTAATTTAATAAGCAAACGGTGTCGTTTGGTGTGCCACAAACTGATATATGCATTCGATGTGTTTTTGTCATTCGCTCGAGAAAACAAGGGCCTACGCGGTTCCGTTGGTGAGGCTAAACTATAGCTATTACGCACTAAAAGATGAACAAAATCCATTTGATAAGCTGAAAGTAAAAGCTCATACACAAGGAAATTCTACATCTTTTCATGGTTTACTACTTTCTACACCTCCAAGCTGACACCGAGAACAGCGGTCTATCTTGCCAGCCAATCACAACGCATCCGTTCTCTTCTTTCATTTTATACCCGTCACAGTTATAACCCTGCAGCAATCTCCTCGCCTGCAACATGCCGTAGTAACTCAATGGAACGTTTCCGAAGCCGGCCAAATCGAGCCTTTGAATCCACTTCTTCAGCTTTTCATGTCTCTCCTTCCTCTCAGCTCCCTCACAGGATATTATGTTCTTTATTTCATTTCCGAAATGCATCTTTTCAAGTTTAAGTCTCTCCAATTATGCTCTCGAGACAGTAGACTCCAAACAATCGAACAAGGCTGCATACGAGTAAAGGGATTCTAATAGCCTTTCCATTAGAGTAGTTCCATTATGATTAGAATCTTGTTCTGTTACGACCATGAGTTTAGGAGACAAACCCCACAGTGCATTAAGAAAGCCATCTACCTTTGCCGAAGCCATTGAATACAGTGGTGATGATGAGGCGGAATCCGGGCTAGGGCTATATGCATTAACCGCATCTTTCTCGAGCAACTCTCCTAAGGTGCCCTGGTTCATTTGGAGGGCTCTTTGCAAGTGAATTCCATCCAAGCTCTTCGATCCTAATGGCAATTTCTTCTGCACGAGTTCATCGTCAGATGCCAAAAGGGAATGCAGTTGAAGAACAGAGCTGATTGCCAGAGCCTCCCCGGTTTTAACATGCAGTTTCTCGATGTCAAGATCCTCTAATTTGCTAACGATGGGATTGAACTGAAATGGGATGTCCAATTTCTCAGCCTCTTCAATCAATCTATGAGCCATTTGATCCAACACTTCTTTCTGTTGATGAATCCCCGTGATCCTCAAATGCGGTGGCCCTTCCGGCCTCGCACTCAAAGCCTGAATAAGTGCAATCCATTGCACAGGCTCAGCTGCATTGAGATCAATCACGTGAACCATCTTCTCGCCTTCCATCACTTCGATTATAGCTTGGTTAGTAAGAACGAAGGACACCTTCAAAAAGGGGAACATCTCAAAAAACAGTTTTCGGACAAGGACTTCTTCCAAAACCAAAGTTACCCTAGTGGAATTAAGGGCCTTGTGAAGACCAGGCCAGGCTTTAAGGATTCGATCCGCAAGCGCCTAGGTGAAGTAGGCAGCGATCCGCTGCATCGTATCGCCATCAGGAGAAGCTAGTTGGGATATTTGCTCGAAAGCGATATTCGCATTCTCGAGACTACCATTTGCCACATGATTAGCACAAGTAAGCAACAAATGGATCAAAATTTAAGCTCTCTAAGCCAGGGATATGGTGATCCTAAGTTAGGTGAGAGTGACATCATGGAGAAAACTTGGAGAGGTGATGATGTTACAGGCAATGATTCGTCTTGGGACATTGGCACCATTAACATACAAAGTTCTAAGCTTTTTTATTTTATATAATAAGCAACACTAAACAAAAAGCTCTGGTCTAATCTTAGTATTAAACAAAAATCAAACTTTTATGCAAGATTTCAGATTTACAACTCTAAGTACACAAAATTCATCCAAAAAGAAAGAAAGATACAAATAGAGCAGCTGAGTAAATAAAGAAGAGTTAAGCCAAATCCTTACTGGGTTTTGCAGCTGATCAAAAACCCAAATCAAAACACATAAAACCTCCTAAGATTTGAAGCTATAATTCAACTTTCTGGGGGTTTTTTTTTTTTTGACTAGCTAGAGAGAGTAAAAACTGGGGTTTGAGAATCCGAATTAAAAGCTCTCAGCTCAGAGTTATGGAAAAGGCTTGGTTTTGGTCATTGCAACGTTGTCGACAACACTGGGTGAAGGAGGGTTTTGTCGTTTCATGATTTGTTGTTGTCACTCCCTCTGGCTTCTTTGAGTGGAAAATGGAATTTATCAAAAATTGAGCCTTTTCTTTTTCTCCTTAGTTTTTCTCTTTTACATTCCTTATTTTCTCCCCTTTTCCATTGAATACAAAATAATATATATTTTTATAATATTTATATTGAGTATATAATTATTTTATTTTAAATAAATATAAATATAATTAGAATATTATATTTTCTATTTACAATATAATGTTTAAAATGAATATTTTATTTTTTTCAAAATTATTTTTAACATCAATTACAAACAATTAAATTTTAAATTTCAATTTTCAAGAACTATTTTAAAAGTAACTTTTTACAATTGAAAAGTAATAGTATCAAACTGCCCCCACAATATTAACCTTTTATGAGGAACGTAATGTGTGTCGTCGAGAATCAAGTCTTTACAAAACCTCCTGTGGATACACTATCGACCCTTTATGAGGATTGTAATGTATTAAATCACCTTTGATGTTCTAACTTTTTAAAAGCTCTCTTTTCATAGAAAAAATATATTTATTTTAGAAACAAAAATCTATACATTCACACCTACAATATCGACTAGTTTGATAAATAAGAGTCTCGACCTTTTAACTTCTTTCAACTCTTTTGATATTTCAATGTCAATGCACTAAAAATAAGTAAAATAAATCTATTTTAACCCAAAGAAGAACATATATTTTATATTCTAACCTGCAAATAATAAAAATTACACAAACTTGATACTTGTTCTCAGGGCCGGCCCAATACATGTGCCAGATGGGCGACGGCCCAGGGCAACATATAGGGGCATCAGTTTTGCTAAGTTCCTTGTAGCCACAAAGGTAATTTCAGGTATTGTTGTGCCTCTATACTCATCCCTAAATCAACGCAGACGGGTCCCTCCGGGAAGAATCTAACTAAAAACGGTCGTAAAAGCGTCGAGCCCCGGCCCAGGCGCGGCCACCGGCTTGTCTCTCGGGTTGTACTCGTCGAAGTAGTTCGAGCTCACCACTCAAAACGTGGTCCTGGTTCTCGAGGATGTGAGGCCTTACTTGATCTTCGATGGTGGAAACGTCGACATTTTGTGTAACATCTGCAATACCGGGTTAGTGACTAAATTGAAAAGTTTCAGAATTTGGTGACTAACGTAGAAGAATGAAATAATTTAATGATTATTGGAAATATATGATGAAGGTTATTTAGTAATTATTAAAGGAAATTAAGGGTAAAATGGTCATTTGACCAGAAAGATTTTTATCTTTCTTTTAAGGTGATAAAAACGTGGAAAGGGTGAGAAGAAAAGAAAGATCTGGAGCTTGGGTCATCTCCTTCCTCCTCTCTTCCCGTAAGCTCCATGGCAAAGGTAAGTTTAATTTCAGTTGGTTAATTATTGAGTTTTAAGCTTAGTTTTGATTCTTGGGGTGCTAAGAAAGATTATTTAGAGATTAAAGTAGGTTGAAACTTCAAAATGGATGAGTTATGAAGGATTAAATATGAAGAGTTTTTAAGTGAATTAATGAAATAGAAGGAGTTAATAGATTTTGAAGTTGAATTTGACTTGTCATATGGAAGAGTAAGAAGTTATAAGTGTTAGAATCAATTTTGGATAACATGGAAAAATTGGTATGATTCTTGAATGCTATGTGGAAGAGTGAATTTTTAAGTTGAAGAGATATTGAATGAAAATTTATTGGTTTAAGTATGTGTATGAAAGTTAGGAATATTAAAGGGAGTGAAGTATGAAGTGTTGAGCTGAAAATGAAGTGATTTTCGAGCTCAAAATGTGATTTCTGGGCAAGGGGAATCGGTACCCATTCAAGGGGAACCGATACCCCCTCAAACGAACCAGAATTTACAGAATGTCAAGGGGGAACCGATACCCCCACAGGAGGGAACCGATTCCCCCTAAAGGAAAATTGTAAATATTGGTTTAATAAGTTCGTTTAAGTTGCTAGTATCAAATTACAAGGTGTAGATATCTAATAATTGTCTTAAAATGTATAATTATGTAGATTCAGAGCCGTTCCGGAATCATTGACAAGTAAGATCGATAAAAAGGGAAGATAAGAGATTGGACTAAGTAAGCAAAGGTTACATAAATAATATATTAACTAGGAGACTTGAACTTCAGTGATACTATGAGCATATAAGATAAGATAGAGGAGAAAGATTCATATGCTTAAATAAAATTATGATACATTAGTTGTATAATAGAAGCTATGGAGTGATATGAAATGATTATAGGAGTTGTACGGAATTGAATTAAGTAAATAAATTAAATTGTACATAAAAGAAATAATAGAAGTAATATATTCAGGTTTATAAGTATAATGTAGGTTAGGTAATGTAAGTTTATACTAAGAAATACAGAATAAGGTAGATGATATGATGTAAATTATATTATGAATTAGTGATGTAGGAATGTGATATAAATATGCAATAAAACTTATGTGTTATATGATTAATATGAACATATGAGAATAAGATATTAGATAAGTGACTTGGTGATAAAAGCTATATGACCATGGATTAGGTAAATATGAATAATTTAAGTGATATGTAACTATGAGTATTTGAGTATGTATCCATGTGAGTTGTTTCATGAGGTTATATGAAATATTATATTATAAGACTATGTGAGTATATGAAAAAGAATATAGGTACATGCAAGTTATATCGAAAGGAGTTGTGTAACCATGCTTGATATGTATTACATGTATGGGAATATAAGAGAATAAAGCATAAACTATATGAAAAGATATGATTCATGTGATGTGAACCATGTGAACATATGAGAAAGTGTATAAGTTATATGTATTACATGATATATGTGATTTTACAAGAAATGACATGAGCTATGTGATTACATGATTATAAGAGATCAGACATGTGATAAAAGATAATTAATATGCATGTGTGAATATGAAATGATATAAATGACAATGCCCATGTTATGTTTCATGAGAGCTAGGGGTATAGTTGGCATGCCAAGAGTTGAGGGTCTATGTGGTCCTTCGGGACATATATGTATTCTTTGGAACATGTGTGAAGTATGGTGAGACACATACTTGATCCCTAGTATATGTATATGATTCTTAAGGAATGATATGTGGTCCTTCAAGACATATATGTATTATTTGGAACATGTGTGAAGTCTGGTGAGACACATACTTGATCCCTAGTATATGTATATGATTCTTAAGGAATGATATGTGGTCCTTATGGACATTATTATATGGCACTACGGTGCAATTCTATGTGGCACTTCGGTGCATTTATATGAGTTGTGGTGACAACATTAGTGCACAACCTCCATAAACTCACATATCTATAGTTCTCACATATGTACATGGGCTAATCAAGAGATATAAACAAATATATGTTAGTGATATGATAAATGTTATAGAAATGATATGATGTTGTGTGTGTATAGTGTTTGATTGAAAAGGTTAAGCATAAAAGTATGTGATTACATGATAAACTGTTAATGATGAGTTATGTGTATGTATGTATTTACTGTAATTAATCTGATATGATTTTATATGATACGAGGAAATCATGTAATTTGGTATAACATGATAAAACATAACATGCATGTATTGATATATGTTATAAAGTGCATTATAAGTTTTTATGCCTCACTAAGTCTTCGTGTAACACCCCAATTTAGGGGCTAAATTTTAAGAAATTATAATATGGTAAATTTAATTGGTATTTTGGAAGAAAATGAGGATTAAATTGCAAAATTTCAAAGTTGGAAGACCATGTTATAAAGTGCAGAAAATTCAGTGGCTAAACTTATGGTTTACCCATTTTTCTTTTTGAGATATTATAAACCCCCATCAGACGCATATTTTTCTGGAAAATTCCAGTTTTCCTCTTCCCCTCAACCTCTTTTTCAACTCCGATCTACTCGCCGTCCGACCTCCGATCGACGAACCGAAACCACCATCGTGTTCGTTGTCAATCGAGGAACAAAACCCCTCAAACCTTTCGTCGTGAATCATTGTCGTTCGTCATTAATTTCAGTCGAAAGTATCGTCGGTAATAACTCGATTTTAGTTGGTTTTTCATCTATTCACGATGATCGGGTAATCCGTTTACGACACCTCCCGCACCATTGCGTTCCTTGCATCGTTCCGAGTCTGTCGGTGTCATCCTTGGTCTCCGTCGACGGCGGCGCGTGAGGAGGTGAAGCGATCAAAGTTTCCGACGTTTTGGAATCGAGCTCTCCGCCGTTCAAATTGTGAACCGATCTTTGTAAGTGCCTCAAAATCGCTTAAAATAATTTTTAGGAATTTTTCCGGGAATTTTCCGACACGGGGTTACTGTTCACGCGCCGCACGCGCCACCACCTGAGAATGGGCTTCGTCTGGAAGCCTGAGGAGCCGTTTGAGCCGAGCCGCTTGAGCTGAGCCGAGCCGTTTGAGCCGAGCCGTTTGAGCTGAGCCGAGCCGTTTGAGCTGAGCCAAGCCGAGCCGCCTAGATCGAGCCGTTTACTGTTGACCACCGTTGACTGACGTTGACTACAGTTAACCAAAACGTTGACCAGCTTTGACCGGGCATTAAACGACCTTTGACTTCGACCGAGTATACCTATCTTGATAGTTTTCGACGTTCCAAATCCGATTCCGTAATCCGTTTTCCAAAATTCGGACCCGAAGGCCTCGATATTGCCGGTCAAACCCGTTGACTTTGATTTTGACCGAAAATTCCAAATTTTCGAAAAGTCATACTTTATGCTTTCGACGTCTTGAATCCGAATCCGAAGTCGGTTTCGCCAAATTCGAACCCGGTAAGCTATTTTTGACTAATTTATCACCCGATTCGATCCGTTTATTGCAATTAAGCTCCGTTTCTGATATAATTTATGTTGATATTTATCTGAGGAATTATTTGAAGTTGAATTGAAGATCAAAGGCATTCGAATGGAATTTTTATGGTCGATCGGTATTGCACGGAAATCGAGGTAATACTTTACTACCTCTTTATGCTTTATGGAACATGTTGATATGGGTAAATGCATGAATAAGATAATGTTGGTCACTTTTGTGGAGTTGAATAATTTATTCACTCGATATGAATGTGGTAGAAATTCTGTAACTGAATACGGATCGAATGACTAAGATAAGAGATTGATAATTGTTAGAATTAAATTACAAGTTTGTGATTGGTGATAAAGAAATCAGCTCTGGATTTGTAAGTTATATTTTATATCATCAAGGGTTAAATGTTAAAGATACTTGGATGAAAAATTATGAGAGTTTGTGAAGGAATCATTTCAAAATCAAAGAATGTTCGGGAAAGCAATTGATCATAGGATCTCTAAATTATAATTATTTTCGTTAAGTGCTAATATTGAAATTATTTGGTTAAGAAATTACGAAAATGCCCTTGAGAGATAAAATAGTCTGAATTGACCCTGAATGAGAGAGTACTTTGAGGATTTGTACTTAACTCGATTAAGTACGA